AGGTGTCCTGACAGTTACAAGATGAGTGATTTATTCACTGTAAGGTTTATTTATATATTTTAAAAGAGACTGAGAGAGAGTGTGCAGGAGAGCAAGAGAGAAGCAGAGGGAGGGAGGGAGGGAGGGAGAGAGAATCCCAAGCAGGCTCCACGCTGTCAGTGCAGAGCCCGACGCGGGTCTCCAACTCACAAACCGTGAGATCACGACCTGAGCCGAAAACAGAGTCAGATGCTTAACCCACTGAGCCACCCGGGCGCCCCCAAGATGAGCGACTTAGAACAAGGGCTGTGCTAGCAAAGGAAGTGGAGGGAGAGTAGTTGGAGGCGGTAAGGCACCTGTTAGAAATGTCTTAAGAGAGGGAAGTTACGTGAATATCTCAGGGCAAAAGAGGAAGCCGCTAGTAAAGGGCGGAATGAAGATGTTGAGCGGGAGGCAAGTGTGTCCAGAAAAAGAGCCGAGACCGAGGGGGTTAAGACTACGCACAGTGAGATGAGCACTGAATAATGTATATACTTGCTGGGGGGAAAAAAAGGAGCCCAGCCTGGAACTCAGGAAAATGGAGAGGGGTGAGCTTTATTAAGGAAGGGCACTTTTAGTTCCTCGGAGGCTGAGAGGGAGAGGAGGGGACGCTTGTACACGCTTGGAAGGCGGTACAGGGGCCGGACCTGTCGTGGGGGCGCCCACCATCGGATATGTGTCCCTCCCGAATTCATATGATGGAGCCTTGCCCCCCACCCCCACGTGATGGTGTTTGGAGGTGGTGGGCCTTTGGGAAGTGATTAAGTCTAGATGAGGTCATGGGGGTGGGGTCCCCGCGATGGATTGGGGCCCTTGAAAGAAGAGGGAGACCCAGAGCCCGCTCGCTGTCGGCCATGGGAGGATACGGAGAAAGGCGGTCATCCACAAGCTGGGAGCAGGGTTCTCACCAGGTCTCGGACTCTGCCGCCTTCAGAGCCGTGAGCTGCCTGTACCCAGGCTGCGGCGCGTAGCTGTGCGGCCTGGGCTGGCCGAGCGGGTGGTCGGCGGGTCAGCCGTGCCCGGTTCGC